CTAGACTATAGACTAGACTATAGACTAGACTATAGACTAGACTATAGACTAGACTATAGACTAGACTATAGACTAGACTATAGACTAGACTATAGACTAGACTATAGACTAGACTATAGACTAGACTATAGACTAGACTATAGACTAGACTATAGACTAGACTATAGACTAGACTATAGACTAGACTATAGACTAGACTATAGACTAGACTATAGACTAGACTATAGACTAGACTATAGACTAGACTATAGACTAGACTATAGACTAGACTATAGACTAGACTATAGACTAGACTATAGACTAGACTATAGACTAGACTATAGACTAGACTATAGACTAGACTATAGACTAGACTATAGACTAGACTATAGACTAGACTATAGACTAGACTATAGACTAGACTATAGACTAGACTATAGACTAGACTATAGACTAGACTATATACTAGACTATAGACTAGACTATATACTAGACTAGACTATAGACTAGACTATAGACTAGACTATAGACTAGACTATAGACAAGACTATAGACTAGACTATAGACTAGACTATAGACTAGACTATAGACTAGACTATAGACTAAACTATAGACTAGACTATAGACTAAACTATGGATTAGACTATAGACTAAACTATGGATTAGACTATAGATCTACTTATAAGCTTAAAATTTTCAGAAAATAATGTAGGTACCAACTCCATTTCACCATGTCTAGTTATTTTTTTAACTTTAAGATATATTAAAGTTTTCATACGAAAATTGTCTTAACTGGATGATAAACTACCGGTTAAACGATAACTGGAGGTGGTCAAAATGGGGGTTAATATGTGAAATATTCAATGATTATTACAAAAATGGGCAAAAACGCCAAAAATCTCCAAACTTTGGTTAAAATCTCCAAATTTCCCGCTAACCACTAAAACACATTTTTTCCCTCAATTGTCAATCGTCAAATTTGACAGGAAAAACATCAAATTGGCAACAATGGTTGTTATTAGATATTTGTTCTTTAAATGGGGTACTAATCAAAGTATATTAAACTCTTCCAAAAACAAAATGCATGTGGTTGTTGTAGATGTTGTTGTACAACAACTTTGGTACTAATAATAACAACAACAATGGCAATTCTTATTATCATTTGTTTCCTTAAGTATTTGTCATCTTTAGTTGCTGAAAATTTCTAAAGTGTTCGGTTGTTTAGTGTAAATAGTCCTGTTTGAATTAATCTAATTGTCTAATTGTTAATACATAAATATTTTAGATACAAATTGTTCCGTTATGGAAAAATGTTTTAAATATTAGTTTAAAAAAGTGTTTTAAAATTTGCAAAAAATTCAATGTAATTTTGTTAGGCCGAGCACCGGTCGATGGTTTTCTTCTGTCGGTTTGTTTAGTGATGAGAAAGCGTTAATCAAAGAAGTAGTGGGAAATTCTGGAAAGAAAATAATTTGTATGAAAAAGTCTGAAGGGAATAGAAGGGTGTTGCAAAATGGAAATATTGTTTTTATATGCAAGGAAATACAGACGGTAGAATATCGTTATTTGAACAACAAAAGAAAAAGGTAATTTGAAATTACTAGTAGGTACTAAAGTAATTACATCCTTCACCACTTTAGTGGGGAGGGTATATTGGGTTTGTGCTGATGTTTGTAACGCACAATAATATTGGTCCTATACCCTTATACCTTATAGTATACCAATCGGCTTAGAATCATTTTCTGAGTCGATTTTGAAATTTTTGAAATTTGGCGGATGATCTTCTATGGTACCGGAGACGAATCCTATTGAAAATGGTCAACATCGGTCCATTATTTCACCTAGCCCCCATACAACTGAACCCGACGAATAGGGATTTTAAGTTCATAATTATGTTTAATATACTCGTATCTCGACAAAAAACTGCAAAACCAAGTTCTATACTAGCCTTGATGACGTTCATGAATTTTATAATTATAGGGTCTCATTTGGCCATAGCCCCAATACAAATTCCCCTTTAAAATTTGACTTAAATGTCCAAAATTTTGTTCAACAATAAATGGCTTAAGTATAATTCAAGGCAAGGTACAATTCAACTTAAATGCTTTATTATGAAAACTAAATCACATTTTATTTTTGTAACAGGTGTAGGGTATTATATACTTTAATAATAATCATCCAAAAATGCATTTTTTTTTAAATTAATATTTTGTCTTTTTTTCATAATTAAAATATACTTTTTGAGTAAAAAGGTGGCAAAATTATTAACCCTTTAGTTGTGATGATACTTTTAATTTTCTGATTTTAAACTTTATTACGCTTTATTACGAAAGCATAATAAATATATTGTATATCATGTAACTTAAAACTATGGGTATTTCATGTCAAGTGACCTGAACCGATGTCTTCCGGGATGAAATTTGAGCCAATGTTAGTCATAGTGGATAGTAGTTTAGACTCAATTTTTCAACAAGATCGGTCAAGAACTCACTGAGTTGTTATGGGTCAAAGTTTGACATTTTTGCAAAACATTTGTTTCTTCTCATCTCATTGGTGAAAATTTCAAAAGACATCGGTTTCAAAAGTTGGGTCACTTAACATGGTATTTCAAAGAATGTGTTTGAATAAGCATGGTTGCATTTTTTAATTCCCGACTAAAAACCGAAAAAGCCGTTGACGATTTGTTCCGGATGTCCTACATTTACTTTCCAGGACTTTACATTGTCATGCATCCATCATTGGTGATGTCTTAAAGGAGTGGTCAACTGGGTTACTTAATACAGACATCAACGATATCAGAAAATGAAGAGAAAATAGCACAGCGCATCAATATCTTCTATTAATATTAATGGACACTTCCTATTGATGTTTGCCAAAATTAAGGAAGTGAAAACAAACAGCAAAGTACTACAAAAACCATATCAGTGAAACATATTACAATACATACAAACATACATATGTATGTACTACATATACATACATACATTGTATGTATGTATACCCAGCAGTTCGGTCGGACAGTCCCAAACTAAATATAAAACCTACCACTTAGCCACGGACTGCTCAGGTGACTAGCTATTTAAACATGCGATTGCAATACGAGGAAGTCAATCGTCACCCTATACATTACGAAGAGACAAAAAGCTTAAGTTTGTTTTTTAAGTGTCCACTCTCTCGATTACAAAGGGGACACTAAAGTGACGATTATCTTCCCCCTCGTTTACAAGGAGTACATCCGTGACGAAAGACGAATTAGAGCCAACCAGGTGGTTAGACGTTAGTGGAAATCAATGTCTTTTTCAGATGCAATGACTCTTTGCCGAACTGCTGAGTACTTTCCCAGCAGTTCGACGGGACAGTCCCGAACTGACCACTTAACCTACCACTTGTGGTGGCCCCTAGCCACCTGACTACCCAGGTGACTAACCATTTTAACATGGGCTTGTCCTACGAGGAAGTCAATCGTCACTCTACACCCTACAAAGATACAGTAAAGAGACGATTGCCTCCGCTCTCGCTTACAAAGGGGACACTAAAGTGACGACTGTCTTCATTCTCGTTTACAAAGAGTTTATTTGTGACGAAAGACCAAAAACATACGAATTGGAGGTGGTAAGATATTAATGGAACTAAAATTTAAAAATTTCAAGTCATTTCTCCAAAAGATGGGTAAAATAACTACTTTCGGAAGTACAACAAAAAAAAACAACTTTTAAGAGTATAATCTCTAGGTTACTTGAGGACAGTAAAGAGACGACTGTCTCCGCTCCCGCTTACAAAGAGGACACTAAAGTGACGACTGTCTTCATTCTCGATTACAAAGGGTACATTTGTGACGAATGACCCAAAACATACGAATTACGATCATCCAGGTGGTTAACTATTAGTGGAAATTACTGTCTTTTTCGTATGCATTGACTCTTTGTCGAACTGCTGGGTTGGGCAAATATACATATGTATATATGTATATACATACATATGCATGTTAAAAGCATTTTCTAATTTAATGGATTTTTTTGGGGAGTATGAAAATAATTTCAATATCAATTTATAAAATTGTATCTGGTGTCCGCCACGAATTGTATATTTTTAATGATAACAATCATCACAAAAATGAGTAACAAGCTAATGGGAAATCTTAGCAAATGAAAATAGAGAAAGAGGCGCCAAATCTCTGCATTTTGGATTTTCAAAAAATGAATATGTACATTAGAGATGTCCAAAAATATGAATTTTGTTTGGATGAGTCCCATTTTGATTTTATATAATTAATGATTTTTTGAATACATACATATGTACATATATGACTTGGAAAATTGTCAATAACTTTCCCAACAAAAACTTCAACAATTTACATTTCAATGAGTACTGCGGAAGACTTATCGTCGTTTTTTGTTTCAAAAACAAAACTACTTACTTAAATCCTTATTTACAAGTGATCGTAGTAAGTATTTTCCCAACTCTCTATTTGTAAGCGAGCGTGGTAAGTACGTGCTTCCAATATCTTCACCGTGTTAAAATGATAGGTAAATTTTAGTATTTTAAGTAAGTTTTTGCTGGGTTGTTGTTTGTCCTTTTGAATAAATGGATGGATAAATTTAATGGTACAATTTTTGTTGAAATCAGAAAGTTCCACTAATTACCCAATTTTATACCTTTCAATCGATTTCCGTCACAGGTTTCCATTATTATACTAATGAACAAAATAAGAGCCATCCAAACAAAATCGATATTTTTGGGCCCCTCTATGTACATTAATTTTCATTAACATTTCCATTTACTAAAAAATTTGTATAGGAAGACATTTAAAAACATATGTACATAGTACATGATACATAGATACATGCATATGTACATATGTACATATTTAAAATTCTCTATTAGAATTTGTACTAAGAACTTAAAAATCCTTGTTGAGTTATAGCTATTTTAAAGGCAATGAGCGATATGTATAAACATTTTAAACGTTATTTGGAAAAAATATGGAATGTTGAATCACTATTTGTAAAATGGCATAAATACTGTTTTTCACAATTTAAATTATTTCATAAAAATGGGAGCTCATAACTCTACACCTCAAACTGTGCGCATAGAAAATCCCCAACGAGGTCTATCATTACAAGTTACTCCATCAGTAGTCTCCCGATTGGTGGGCGTTGAAGACCAGAAGCAGAAGAAATTAGATGATACCATGGAAAGCCAAGAGGAAAATCAAAAAGCCCATTTGAAATATGGATCCGTTCAAGAAGTGCCACACAATTGGACACAGGCTCAAGATGTTTTTCTAAAGAAATACAATGAATTAGAAGAATACCAATTCGACAAATCAGTCGAGCGAGTTGAAACGATGATTGGGAAACCGTTGGCATGGGTAGAAGATGTTAATGAAACTATTACAAGGATGAGGGAAGAATTAATAAAATGTTATCGAGATAATCCGAAACAGTCGTTATGCTGCGCAAATATAGCAAAAAAATATCAAGATTTCATTTTTCAAGAACAATTTAATACTATTTTAAAATCAAATGAGATAAATATTAAATAAATTGTAAAATAAAGCTATGTATACACGGTTGATAGATTGTACAACGCAGTGTACACTTAATAAGGTAGCCTCGTCGCTACAACAAATACAACAATACAAAAACAACAGGCGATTTGTTATTGTGAAATAATCCAATCTGTCAAAATAAACTGCATGCGGAGAATGAAAAAGCAACAAATAAACATAATAAAAATACGAGTTTTTAGCAAATATTTTAAATTTTAACTATTAATATTAATATATTAAATTAATTAAACGTGGAATGCCTGAAAATCATAACTATAACTATTGGGAGGACAAATTTTGCGAATAGAACGTGCTTTTTGTGAAAGTAATTGGTTGTGCTAAAAATTTTTTAATCTGATTTGGAACGTATGCCGGAGCAAAAGATTTTCTTATTTTATCAAGGGAGGAGGACAACAAAGACATTTAATCGCAATTGACCCAGAAAACTTATTTAAAAACATAATTTTTTTCACTTTTGAAAAATTTTTACAACTTTTGCGATTTTTTCTTAATGTAAATAAACAGGAATTTTGACAGATAAGATTGTAACAGCTGATGACCAGCTGTGTGGACGAGGCTACCTTATTAAGTGTACACTCAAAGTAAATTTATAAAGTAGACTCATTTGAACAGCTGACTATTTTTTTTAAACTTGCTATTTGTGGACTTACTTGTCAAAAATGTTTATGTTGCCATATTTGTTTTCATTTTAACGCTTGCTTTTGTACAAATTTCTGAGTAATTTGTTGTATTTAATGTGAAAAAGTGTATTTTAAGTGTATAATATTTTTAAAAATGTTCTAATTTTTAAAAAATAAAGAAAACTCTGTGACTTTTAATATAAATAACAACATTTTTTTGGAAAGTACAACAATAATGCCATATTTTCCATTAATTATTGGTTCATTTTTGTAAACAAATTTTGACAAGTGAGTATTTCGAACAAAAACAAATTGCCTGTGGTTTTTGTAGACGTTTGTTGTACAACAACTCGTGTCGCTACTTTATTAATTTACTTTGTGTACACTGGTACAACGTTAGCAGTAAAATGTGCAGAAAATGTCTAACAACGGCGTCAATTTACAAATTTTATCTTGCAATATTGTCAGTAATGCTTTTTCTGACAACGTTGCAAAAGAAAAATTGCAAGTTCACACGATTGTTGGACATTTTCTGCACATTTTACTGACAACGTTGTAAGATCTGACAACCGTGTATCAGCTTTAAGTACACTACACCTAATAGATCTTTCTCGCGTCCCTTTTTTTAGAGTTGTGTCGGTCACGAACGACCTAGTTCAATTGAACGATTCCTTTTTAGTGAGCGGTATACATATCGATACCCTATATTCAAAAAGTGCTAAATCAATAAAGTCTAGTTTTCAGGAAAGCAAAAAAACTATTTAATTCATGAAATATTGCACTAAAAGACAATATTTCTTCCATAATACGTTTTTAACATCCTTACTAATTCTTACTTATGAAAAAATTTTAATATTTTGCACATTTTAGCGACTTATTTAAGATAGCACTTTTTGGTCGACAAAAAAAAAATATTTGTTCTAAGTTAGCATGTTTTGTTCAAAGAATAGAACAAAAATTTCTTCTAATAATATGCGTTATTTTATAATTTTATGAAATGTTTTTTTAAAGGGATATAAGTCAAACCAGTAAGTCCAATAAAATGCATTTACACCATTTAAGTAGAAAAACTCATTTCATATCTGCTTGTTTACTATTCCTTATTCTCAGTACAAATATTTTAAATTATGAAAAGTTTTTGAATATAAAAAGTACCAATATTTTTTGAATAATACTCCATAATTTGCACATTTAAAGACTTTTTATAATCAAAATTCTAAATTGGACCCATAGAATATTATAGATCTTGGTATTATAAACGATTTCTGAAATAACTTTACATTTTTCGGAAAAACTTTATTTAAAGTCTAAAACTGGTTTTATATACAAATATATAAATGATCATATATTAAAAACTATACATTCAATTTATTAATCTTCACCTGTTTTGTGTTCAGCATGTTCATCTTGTTAATATACAAAATAAATTTTAAATAAATTTGGAGTTTTAAAAAATTTTGTAAAATTTGTATGGAAGTTAGCACTTATTTTCTTCAATAAAAATTTAACTTTGAGATAGCATATTAACAAAAATTGTTGTTAAAAGTGTAAAAATTACTTTTTTGGTTTCAAATTTATACCAGAAGTGGATCATGCATTGAGGAATCCTTTTGCATCAAAAACTCACAAAATTGAGTTCGCACTTTTTGAATATAGGGTCACGACCCTGCCAGCAACTCAACTAACTTTAAATGCATTAAAAGCCGACTTTTTCATCAACTAGTTATGGTTGATTCTTGGATTATTTTTAATGGAGCCAACTGACTATTTTAACATCAACTGATCAACTGACTAGTAACTATCTTAATGTTAGTTACTAAAAAATTAGCTTAAAGGTAACTCTTTATTAACTAACTTAAAGTTAGTTGCAGAAAAGTCAAGTAATAGTTTTCTTTTGTATTCCCTATTGTATTAATTAATTACATTTTAATCAAATATATTTAAAATTTAACTACTAGTTATCTAAATTACATTTCGCTTTAATACAAGTTATGGTATTAGTTCGTTAAAATTAATAGACATCAGTTTTCTGCAGGGGAACTAATAATAACACCGGTATCCATAAAATTATGAATGATTTGTTCATTATTTCCATGATTCCTATTGATCCAAATCTAAAATAAATTTTAAAATGTTATGTGTAATGTTAACAGTTAATGTATTATATTTACAGTATTAATCAGCAGAATTTAGAATTTAGGGACCGAGTTTTGAAATATTTAACCTTTTATAATTAATTTTTCCAATTTACTGACTCTAATTTCACAACGTATAGAAGAAAATGACAAAAATGTAAAACAAAATTCCAAATAATAAAGAAACATGAGAAAACATGTCGAAACAAAATGCTCTCCAGATAATTTTGGGGTACTCCCGCATTATATGATAGTTAGCTTGTAGCTAGTCTTTAAAAGTCGGTTCGTTTTTAAATATTTTGTTTCCAATAAAAAATACAAACATTTGAAAAATATTTGAAACATAAAAATAATTTAAATACAAAATTTTCATGAAAAGTTATTAAGAAAATTCAAATAAAATCAATTTAATTTATATAAATAATATAAAACTAAAAGAAATACGCGAATTTTTATATTAAAATTTTGTGGTAAGTTGACGTGTACACAATTTTGAAAAAGTTTCAGGTATTTGCATGACAACGCAGATTTTATGAAATGTATCTAAGAATGTATATATGCAATCTTTTCTTTTTCAGGATTTTGTTATTTTACTTTAGCGAAATATTTAGTTAAATATCCTTTAAAATGAGATTTTGATAACAAAAGAGCATACAGAATAAAAGCTGGAAAAGGCGATTTTACTATCGTTATTTTTGGAAATTATGATAGCAAAAACGATATTATAATTTCATGGAAAAACGATATTATAGGGAAAGATACAATTTAGTCCGTAAATACTATCGTTTCCGATACGAGAACGATATCCGATTACAAAAATCGGAAGTATAGTTAACGGTCGAATTTAACGAAATTATGTTCTCTAAAGCATTATTTAGACGTCCGGTTGTATGAGACGTACATAAGTTAGATAATGGACCAATTTTAAATATTTTCAACACACTTTGTCATTAGTATAATAGAAGATCATGTATCGAATTTTGTTAAATTATCTTAAAAAATAAGAAAGGTTTTTATTTGTTCAGTCTTGGTAGACCTTCTCACGGAAATGCCCGTATGTTTTGTTTAGATCAATGGTATGTTTTCTTGAATGAAGTGAAAGAAATAAGAATTAGAGAAAAAATGTATAAATTGCGAGTGTATCATTCTTACGGCTGTATTTATAAAAACTTGTTTTAGGTTTATTAAACAATTTTAAGCAAAATTCAGGAAAATCGTATTTATAAACGTGAAATAGCTTAAAACACCTTCAATAAACCATTGACAATTAGAAGAATTTTATTGTAGGCTCGACCCTTCTTTAAGCCAACAATAAGTTGATTTTTAACAATTTTTTTCTCAGATAAAGATTTTTCCGGTAATTTTAGGTTGATTGCGAAAACTAATTATGGTTTATCTTAAAATAAAATCTAAAAATTCTAATTTTAACGTTTACAAATTTGTAAATAAAATCCCAGAAAATTTTTAAACGATTATATTTTGAGAAAAAAACTCAAATCTAGGCATTATTGGATTAATGCATGAATATTTGACAATATTTCAATTGTCCAGCACTATTTTTAGGAAATTTGGAAATGCCCGTCTGTCAATCAAATGATGGACAAAATCATTTGATTTGGCTTTTTCAAAGTTTGTTGGTTAAATATAATGCCATAAAGTAATTAACCATGTAAATTATATTGATTAGTATTATACTAATGCAAAATATATTCGCCGGCATTAAAATTAGTCAAATATCAAAGAAATTTATCAATATTTGCAAAAATTTATCAAAAATTACAAGGAAAATAAGTAAAAATAAGAAAATGTGTCATAGTGATGTATATTTTGTCGCAAAATATCCGTTATTCGGATACTTTTAATAATAATTAGAAATTATATGTTATATTTATACATCTGAACTAAATAGACATTTATTAAAGCCATATATATATTTATTTTTCTTAAACGTTTGTTTTTATTGTCAAAAATCTATTATAAACAAAAATATGAAATTAAGAAAACCGAATCAACGAATATTTTATCCTAATTGTACGCAACACTAACACATAAAATGACAGCCATATTGTACAGTGCTGCCAACTTAAACATAAATCAGCACAATAGTTAATATACGTTTATTATTTGTTTATGAATATCACAATTTTATTAATGGTTTTTAAGGCTAAAGTGTGCTTTAACTATTGAGTGCATTAAAAGCAAAATAAGATTTTTTTATAAATACAAGCGTTAATCTCTGACTTAAAAGGAATGGCTTTAATAATTAATTACTTGTTATACACCAAGGCTGTGAAAATACTCAAGCAATGGTGTTCTAATTACCGAACACTAGGGTTCTATAGTTGAAACGAAAAGTCGACTTTTTTCATTTAGTTAAAAGTCGACTTTTCGACCTTTTGCATTTTATGAAAAGTCGACTTTTCGGCTTTTTTCATTTAAATACAAGTCGACTTTTAGACTTTTCGACTATAAGTATTTTATAAATAGTCGACTTTTCGACTTTTTCCGACTTTTTTCGATTTTTTCGACTTTTTGACTATTTTCGACTTCTTTCTACTTTTTTCCGACTATTTTAAAGTTTTTGACTTTTTTTCCACTTTTTTAAATTTTTGACTACTTTTGACTTGTTTCTACAATTTTCGATTTTTCGACTTTTTCCGACTTTTTTCGACTTTTTCCGACTTTTCGACTTTTTACGACTTTTCGACTTTTTTCGACTTTCTTCGACTTTATTCGACTTTTTTCGACTTATCGACTTTTTTCGACTTTTCGACTTTCAGACTTTTCGGCTTTTTTCGACTTTTATTCACAAAGTCGACTTTTCGACTTTTTTCACAGACGATAGTTGAGTTATCGACTTTTCGACTTTTTTCGACAAAAAGTCGATTGTTCGATTCTTCGAAAGTCGATTTATAGAACACCATTCGTCCACTGGACAAATTGTCTCAAAACGGAGAACACTTTTTAAGCCAAACGATGTACCGAGCATCACTTTTTTACATAACGTAATTCGTACGTAATTCAAACTGAATTACGTAGAGCTTGTGTAATTTGCATCTGAAATTTTGTATGGTCAATCATGTCATTCAGTATGTAATTGGGGGTTGAATGATGAATGAGAGCATGACGAATAATTGCATCATGTGAACGGGGTATTAGTCGGCTTACAGTCGATTTTAAGCCGCCGCCTAAAGTTTTAGTGTTTGCCGCCGCCTTTGTTATTGTATGTCGCTCAGTACGAAATTACTGCTTTGTCCGACGATAATGTAATTTTTTTGCGTTGAAACAAAATAATGTGATAAAATAAATTAAATTTATTGTAACTAACTAACTATTTATAGAATTTAATCCAAAGTACAAAATTAATTATAATAATATAAATATTTTAAATGCGTGTAAGTGTGATCCACAAAAAAGAGTTTTGCAATTTTTGAACAAATAATTACGTTATCAAATCAATGTCATAATTTTATTATCTAATACAAATATTTCCATGAAAATTTAAGGAAAAATAAATATATAGGAGAATTTAATAAATGATTTTGGAATACAAACGCATCATCTATAAAATCGATACAAAATGTAAAATAAATACTGTTACAAGAAATATTTGCGGAAGTATTTCATTAAAAAACAGCTGATGGCCATCACATGTTTGGTTTTGTTTTACTACAAATTATGACGTTATAATAATGACACTAATGTAGCGATTAAAAAACGTTAAAATAAATAGAAAAAGTAATTTATTAAATTATAAAATTAAAAAAAAAAAATCACATAATCTACGATAATGATTACTTTTTTTCATAATTGAAACAATATAGTAATTATACCACGGGCTTATTCATAATGAAAAACTAACCACTTACACCCAATTTACATGATGATTTTTTTTCGTGTTTGCCCAGACGTCTGTTTTCATGTTTGTCGATGATTGGTGTTGAGCGGTGTAGAGAAGAATGGGGGGTAAGAAAACAAACATGATTTGGGTTTTTCATGATTGTTTTTGACATTCCTCTTTAAACTCATTCGTACTGTTGATATTATGCTCATGTAAAAAAATAATTATGTCTTTTTTTTACATGAAAACATTAAAATTTTCATTAAAAAAATACTATAGCGTGTAATAAAATTTTTTTAAATCAAATTAAATGGTTTTTATGTTAAAAATTTCATTTTATTTTTATTACGAATAAGTAATTAAAAAGGATTATACAATTAAACATCAAAAAAAGACATGCATAGTTGCATGTAAAAATCACCGTATAAATGTTCATGATTTTTTGGAAGATTCTCAAAAGAGAATTGGAAAAAACAGACGTCTGAAAAGTCTTCATGTAAATTGCGCCTTACTATTTTGTTATTTTTTAAAGACAGATTGTTAATAAAGAATTTATAGAAGAAAATTTGTAGAAGAGAACGGATGAGATCGTAAACGCAAATATGTAATTAAACATCACACATTGAAAGAAAATACGGATGGAAAATTTGACAGTCGTATTTTATTCAAATGTTATACATGTAGCCACTTGGTCAATAAAATTATAGGTATTACAAGTATTCTTATTATCTATGAGAACATCCATTCCTCCTAATGACCCCCACAAATATACTGGTTTAGCTGGGTTAACGAATACTTAGTTTAGCGAGTGCGGGATTTAACGAACGGGCAAATTTTTCCATTGAGTATGTACCTTATACGAATAAATGGTAAATTTTGTACGAATTTCTAAAAAATTGTTTATAAAGTGTGGTGAAAATAAGACAAAAAGACAACTAAACTTCATAATAATCCAAAAGGCTTAAATTAATTAATTTAGATTCTAAATCCAACTAAATGGATTTAGAATCTCTAAAAAATCTTTCAATAGAAATTAAATTTATAGGTATAGGTATAAAAAATAATTTTGTGAATTAAAAACAAAGTTTTTAAAAGAAGATATACCTACATTTTAACGTAAAAATCTTTAATTAAAGAAATATTGTGATTATTTCAAAATATAGAGAGAAATGGAATTGTTTGTCAACAAAATTACTCGAAAATATAGGTACAGAATTTTACACATGGAAATAAAATCTACTTTATCTAATTTTAATAAATTTCCTTCTTGAAGTCTTTTATTTTGGTTTATTTTTAAGTTTAACGAAAAATGTTTCTATATTTAACAAACTGCAGAAAAATGCATAGAATAGGCACAATCTATATGAACGCATTAAAAATTGAACTTCCTATCTTCCGTTACCATATTTTTATCATTAAATTATGGAAAAATTGTTATTTCGTTTAACGAATTTTTCGTTTTTACGAATGGGGTTGACATTATATCTTTCGTTACACCGAGAAACCAATGTGCATACCTAAATATAAAATAAGATCATCAATGTACCCTAATTGTTGTACAATCATTTCATGTAAAAAACGATAAACGGTTCTTAGCACCGGAACGACCTGGAGTTCAACGACCAAGGATTGTCAACCCAGCCACACCGACTTTACACGTGTCGCTGCTACAACAACAACAAATTATTGTCCATATATTGAATTGTGTATAGCAGATATCATGATAGAAAAAATATTACTTATATAATTTGTGTATTCCCAATAGATCTTGTAAATATGTAATATTTTTTGTACAATATGCTGAGGTTCTTGAAGTTTAATAATTTTATACAGGTATACATATTAACAAGCGAAATTTAAGATAATTGACAAAGTCAAGATTCAAAAAATTTTTCAATTGTGAGGAAACGAACTCTTACTCTAAGTCCGTATACAAATCTAATAATTTTATGTACCATCAATTTAATCCTTTTTAGTAGTCAAATAAACCTTAATACAATAATTAACATGTGACATAGGTATGTATGTAAGTAAAGAATGTGCAACTGACTTTTTAACATGTAAAGGTTGAAACAGATTCCGGTGACATATCGTAAAGTCAGACAGACTATTGCATATGTTATTAACATTTGGTCTAAAATATAACCTACTATCAACTCCAAGGCACCCTAATGAACTGACAATTTCAACATGGACATTGACACATTTATCAACTTAAAAATGTATGGTCCTAATTTTTTTGGGCAATCGCCATTATTTCTATTTCCTAAAATGATGTTTATGTAATTATGGTTTGGAGCCCTAACTACAATTGTCGTGTTGCTATTGGTATTTATATTATACATATGTAGGTAGTTTCATATTTCATAAAGTCGTTCCAATATTACGTAACTGAACCATAAGAAGCGTTTAGAAGATACCTATCAAATGATTTTTGGGAACACTATATCTTGAAAAGAACTAATGATGGACAAACATAGAAGGAGATTTAATTTTCAACAGAACTGTAGTCATAGGACACAATAAGCGAGATATTTAAAAAAAAAACAATTATTTTTGTAACTTTTGGCCCCCAAATACAATATCGCTTAGCATACATTGGATTAATGGAACTCAAAAACGCCAAAGGGGAATAACATTAGATTAAATTTCGTTGTATATTAATTTATTTGAATATTAATTGGCATTTAATTGCAAACTCGAAAAAACGCTCTTAGTCCCTGAATAAAGATGACGCCTTGTGTCAACTTTCATTAAGCTATCTAAAATTTCCCAGTTCGCTTATTTTTTTTACTATTTATTTAATTATTTTATTTATTTTACTGTTTTATTTTTTTACTATTTTATTAATGGAAATATTAACACTCGATTTATTGCATTTTTACAATAATTTTAACAATTACTGTGGAATTGCCCAAACTTCGTGATGTGAATTAGAATAGCCTTGCTTGGCTCTTACAAAAGTTTGATATAATAATATAATACATATACTAAAAAATTTTAGCCCTCTAGCTGTTTTCGTTCGGATCTTATTTGATGATGGGTATAAAAAAATACTCATTTTGTATGGATATAGACCCTAAAAGGTGAAAACAAAAATAAAAAATTGATATAGACCATTAAACAGCAATTATTGTTGCCATTAAAAACTTAATAACTTTTTTTCAATTTTACATAACGGTGTATAAATCTATAATTTTGTTCAAAATTAATGTCGAAATCAAATGAGAAAATTATAAAAAAATCTATCACGTAAATTTTGAGAAAAGTTTATGTAAATCTTCTAAGTCGCTTTTCTCAATAACAAGTGTTTGGTGTATAGGTCAAACCAATAATATACTGACGATATGGTATCGAACTTTTATCCACGAAATGATTTAAATTTTAGTTCTGTACACCACTAATTCGTTTAAATTCGTCAAAATAAAAATATATTATTTTTAATTAAAAAGAGATTCGGTCAATTTTTAGGAAATTTAAGCAATTGATGACGTCGTTGCCTGTCCCATCATTAGAAAATTGCAACAAAAATATATTTGAGTAAAAATGCAATTTAGTGCACGCTCAACTATTGTAGCATTTACATCAGTGAACAAAAAATAAATAGTTCAGAATAATTTTTCAAATAATCGCACAAATTTATGCATGTGTATGTGCATTAAATTAAATAATTTTTCTGTATATCTTAAAATATATACATACGAATTCAACGTACATTATATGAGGTAATTTTAATGAAATATGAAATATTTAAAAAAAGCTTTTCCGAAACATTGACCTTGTTTTACAAGAAAATTACGGCCTTGAACTTGATTTTTTATTTCCTTTAAGTCTTTTGTTCATATTGCTTGTGAATGTTGTATCAGATGTGTATCAACGGAATTTAAATTAATTATACAAAATATAGTGGCGTCGATAAGTCTGTAAATTCATTGATGAATAAGCATTAAAATACAATTGTACATACATAAATACATACGTAAAATTCGTGACAATGTTAAACAAATTGCTGGAATTCCTTAAAACTACAGAAGGAGTTTTCAGGATTGTCATATAATCCAATCGTTGTTGGAATTGTATTTGAAAACGAGAAAAACCTACATTGCTTTAATGAAATTCAATTTAATACATATGTATGTATGTTTTACATTCAATTCTTTATTGAACAAAAACAAAACAACGAATCATTCATTGAGTTTCATTAAACCAATGTATGTACATTAGGCATATAACTGTTGACATTTTTGCAAATATGCAAATTGTTATAGTAAAGTCGAATAGAGCATTAAAAATATGAAATAATACACTAAATATCGTTTTGCGGACCAGAAATACTTTAACAAAACTTCTACTTAGTTTTCCCGCGATAAGCTCAAAACTACGTAATTTTTGAGACCTATTTCGAAAAGATTGCAGAAAATTGTGTTAAACGTATTGTACTGAGATCAAGAGAACCAGGTAGGGAACTGAAGACCTTTTCAAAAAAATTGTTTTTTATTTTTCTCGTATTAAGTACATTAAAACGCATCGTTTGAGAGGTATTCCTCCAAAAAAGTGGTCTACGGGACACCATGCACATACATCTGTATGACTCTCACATACATATGTATGTATATTTTTTACGTTTTCAAATCCAATTCCGAAAATGATTGGATTCTTCTAAAATCGTTTAACAATTTGAAAATGGTAAAATAACGATGAGTAAAGTTTTGTTCAAAAATTGCACCGGTTAGTTCAAACATACATGATATTTAAATTTGTTAACTCAAAATGTATTTTTTAATAATTAAAATCAACAAATAGAATGGTACCTTTAACACTTAACTTTATAAGAACACAATGGCGTGCTTTTACCACTACTCACCCCTTGATCAGAGGATCAATATCCTATGCGATCTTATGGCCCACCGGAAGTTTAATACAACAAACACTAGAGGGTAAAAATTTAAGTAAGTATACCCATTCTGAACATGAAGTTTCAACTCGAACTATGTATATAATTTATAATTTTCAAAATGACAGAAACCTATGACTATATGCGCATGTTAAGATTTAGTTTATTCGGATCTCTGTACGTAGCCCCATCATTATATGGTTGGTTTAGATTAACTTCTGCCATGTGGCCTCAAATGAATGTGAGAATTGGTCTGTTAAAGGTAAAACCCCTTACATATGTTTATACAAATATAGAAGTATGTATATTATTTAATTTATTTAGGCTGCCATTGAACAAATATCTTATGGTCCATTTGCTTGTGCCAGCTTTTTCATGGGTATGTCGTTATTGGAAATGAAATCTTTTTCAGAGGCAGTCGAAGAAACAAAAGAGAAATTTTTACCCACATTTAAGGTAAGCACACGTTAGTGGTACTTCCCCGATTGAATAAATTATTTAATATAGTTTTATTTACATATGTATACTTTTTAGGTCGGAATTTGCATATGGCCGATTTTACAGACAATAAATTTCTCCGTGATACCCGAAAGAAATCGACTTGTTTTTGTAAGTATTTGTAGTTTAATGTGGACCACATTTTTGGCCTACATGAAGAGAAAGGAACTAGTCGATCACCACGAATCGAATGTGAGGAATACAATTGAACAATAAAATTCCGTGTTAGAAATAGTTAGAACAATTTTAGTAATTAACGTACATACATACATACATACATACATACATACATATGTATGTATATAAGCAAGGTTTGTTTTTGTTGTTAAAATATTTATAATAAAGTGCATTTAATTAATTGATTAGTGTGTTATTGCTTGCAACTTTTTCCTGTATCCATTTAGTATAATACGATAAATTAGTAAAAATACCCGGCTTAGAAGCGCAAGGTTTTAAGCTCCATGAAACTACACCAATCTGCTTATTTGCATACAATAATGGTCCACCAGAATCTCCAGAACATTGACCGTTCTCAACTCCTCCAGCACACAGATTTGAAATGTGAATGATTGATTTCAGTTGTTGGCGGCATTCTTCTAAAGTGATTATTTCCATGTGTACCTTTTCTAATTCAATTGCAAGTGCGCCATTGGTCTAAAAAATGAAGAAATAAAATTCTATGGTAAATTTGCTCAAGTATTTGAGAGTTACCAATTTAGTTACCCCATTTAAGCCCCATCCTACCAAGGTTCCAGTGATATTTTCATAGCTCTCGTTGTTACCATTATCCAATTTTACTTTATATAAATTCTTAAATAAGCTGGTAGATTCTTTCAGTTTGACTAGTGCTATATCATGAATTGTGATGGTTGGATTATATCCCTCATGTTTTATTATATCTAAAGCAACCGCATATTGTGGCTGCTTAGGATTGAGATGTGTGGAGTTGTACTGAATGAGGAACTCGTCGGCCTTTTTAACGTAAGTAAAACAGTGTGCAGCTGTTAAAATCCAATTGTTCTTTATAATGGTTCCAGCACAAAAGTGTCTTTTGGATTTTTTTAAACGCAATGATACCTGCAATAAAACACTTTTAATTACAAAATAATTTCAAAATATTTAGATAGTTTTTATATAATGGATGAAAAACTGAAAACCACATCAATCCTTTAATAGGAATTTGCAGTAAAACACAAGTTATATTATGATTGTTTGTATATTATTCTATTAAACTATTTATTAAAATTGTTTCACATTTAAGGGATTTTTAGCACGAACTATTATTAAATTTCCACTTAATATTTGCTCAAGTCCTTCGGTATTGTTATCTTCATCATCCTCAGCGTCGAGAATTGTTTCCAAAATCCATCCAACATAGGCGGATACTTCAGTGAAAACTCCTGGATATGGAGGTCTTGTGCAAGGTTTACGAGACCACGAAACAATTCCAACTTGAGTACCATTCAAAAGTAAAGGACCACCAGAATCACCACTGCATTGTCCTTTGCCGCCCTCTGGCACACCGGCACAAATAGTTGTCGAATGCATCTGTACACCATGCCTGTTACTGCATTCGTCATCGTCAAATATTTCTAAATCAACTTTTTGCAAGAACTGTTGTACTACTCCACCCGTCTAAAATTGCATTAAATAATTTAATTAATTAATTTCAACTGGTACCTATTTTAACACTCGCTTACCGCGTTTAAGCCCCAGCCGATTAACGTAACTGGTGTTTTATTGTCAGTGGTGGCATTCAATTCTGGCAATCGAATGCCGACAAAATCTTTTTCTACATTAGCCGGTTTCTCGAGTCTCAACAAAGCAATGTCATGTATATATTGATTAGCTGGTTCATAGCCTTCGTGGACAAATATTTTTGATACATTTGCCAGATCCGTTGAATTCTGATCCAATTCAATGCTTCCGTACTGTACATTTATTTGACTCGGCTTTGATTTAACCACACAATGAGCAGCAGTCAAAACCCAAACGCGGTTCAAGAGAGAAGCACCACAGGAGTGACGACCTGACGATGCTCGTCTCAGAGAGACCTTTAGAGCGTTTTTTGTGAAATAAAAAAAACATAATGAGAATGTACAAATCTTACCATGAATGGAAATTCGCCAGGCAAAGCCATCGAACCATTTACAATTTTACTATCGAATCCCTCGGAATATTCAATGGCCACGCATGCAACAAGCGCCAGCAACAAGCATTGTTTGTTTTCCATTACGTTTCCAGTTAGAAATTCACTACCGTTATGATGATCTGTTACAGTTTACCAAAGGTTTTTATAAAAAGCATTTGCATTGGTGAAATTAGGTTTTAACATACAAAATTAACACCAAATAATACATGGCCTACATATATACGTAGGTACCGTTTTCACTGAAGGTATTGATAACATGAGTTTAGCTAAACTTTTCTACCCGCCCTTTTGCATTCAAACGTCTAATCAAGGTCAATGTTTGTTACCGCTTGTGCTTTTTAAAATTTATAAGGGTTCTCATGAAAAAACAAAAACAATTTCCTCATTTTAGCACAACAAAGAAGTGGTAAAATGTCTATGCTCCTACAGAAATTCAAAGTATTAATAACGAAATATCCGATTGTGAGGGGTATGATTTCCTACAGTTTCATATGGCCAACGAGCAGTTTAATTCAACAAACGTTTGAAGGAAAACGATGGGGTAAATTTATAGTTAAATAAAAGGTTTATTTGTAAAACTCAGTACCGAATTATTTTTTAAGGAAATTACGATTGGTGGCGTGTTCTGCGATTTAGTCTATATGGAGGCTTTTTTGTGGCGCCCACAATTTATGGTTGGTTTAAGGTAATTGTTTGAAAATATTTATTACAAAACTATATACATACATACATACATACATACATACATACATACATACATACATACATACATACATACATACATACATACATACATACATACATACATACATACATACATACATACATACATACATACATAATTTAACAGTGCACAATATCAAAAACTTTCACTATAGAAATACATCTAGTCGCTCCAAGCCAAATCTGGACACCTTACAAATGAAACCCCAGTTAAAAGTGAGGAAAGAGATGTGGAAAAGTCATTACAAATAAGATATTTGAAGTACATCAAGATTTGGTGAAAGAGTAGTGAAATTTACATAAGCGTGTCATTAAGAGAATGTGTTTTATTTTTGACATCCAAATATCGGATTTTTACTGCTTCTAAAAATAAGATCAGATGTAGTTCAAAGCTGCCAAAAATGAACAACATCCCTCCAATGACACGCTAATGTAAAATTCATAGGTTTTACACCCGAATTTGAAGCACTTCGGGTTACTAGTTGTGATGAAAATTCTACATCTTTTTCCACACTTTTTTTGCTGGGAATATTTGGTTTATAAAAGTAAAAAATATGAAATCGCATTTTAAGATGTGATTAAGATGTGGTTTGTAAAGTATGACATCAATTATTTTTTGCTGGGAAATGTTGTTCGAGTATCATTAGTATATTTATTAAGCTATTAGAAACAAATTTGAATTTCTTCGTTTGTAACTTAAAATAGACTAAAAAAAATTCAACTACTTCAGAAAAATGCACAAGTCAAACTTGGACTGCTGCAAAGATAAAATTTTTATACTAAGTCCTTATTTGACAGAGATTTGCTAAAACACATAAGTTTTAGAGGATTCCATAATTTCTTCCAAAATAGGATCCAGAGGTAATGTTTTCATGAAGTTCGAAAGGATTTACATAAGCTAAAATCACAGTTTGTGGGCTTAGTGTACCGTCTAACAATAAAAGGTATTTTCTCAAAAATTATTTTTTTAAATTTTGATGTAAAATATTTAATTACATAGTCTGGTACATAACCCTATCAATTATGTGTAAATATCCTTGGTCTTTATTGCCAGGAAAAAAATATATTGGTATAAAAGCAAATAAAAGCCATTCATTTTCAATATACAGTAGTTTTCGTTTATAGTTATCACTGTTATAGTCACATTAGTCATATTGTCAATTTTATTAGATTTAAATGTCTCTATCGAATTTCATATAAAAATATTGCTTTATAGTCCATTTCTGATATAAGCACTTTTGACATATTAAAAGTCATGTTATATGAAAAAACGTCACGATATTGTCACACACGAAATTTTTTTCTAAAAAAATAGTTTTTAAAGTCGCTATCCACTACTACTACAAAAAATGTATTGTAAATTAACTAGTAACTGTCCAAATGAAGAAGATTTTGTTGAAGAAAAACGATTTTCGATTAAAGAAATTTTAAATGCAGTAGATATTTTGCTTAGAGAAAGATATAAATTCAAATTTTTTTATTTAAAAAATATAGAAGATACAACTGTAACCAACATCCTCAAGCTTAAAACAAACTAGGTTAGGTTGATAGGAGGATGTATAGTACATCAAAAACAAACAAAAATTATTGATTTTTTTAAAGAATGTAAACAATATTTTTTTTAATATAATGAGTTTATGAAAATATTTCTTTAATAAACATGAATTTAATTTTTTTTATATTCAGAAAAAATTAATATACATATGTATAAGATTTTCTTTATAAGCACATTGTGACATATACAAAAAAAAATTGTTTATAATCACTTTAGCGATATAGCCCTCAATTTGTGTGCAATTAAGACTATAAGCGAAAAGTACTGTAAATATAAAAACTTGTTTCTTTTCTAAAAACTGATTTTATTTACCGATTAATATTTATGGATCGAATGGTCAACTCCGCATTTGAAATGAACCAAAATCAGTAGTTAAATTCGAATAACTTAAAACGGACAGTATATTACTGGTCATTTGGGCCTCATTTTATGCCGAAGGGCTAGGATTTTTAAATGTTTTTGATAGGGTTATGGACTAAAATATATATTTAGATATTTTAAAGAAAAATTTTACAAAATTTTTTAATAAAAAGAATTTAAAGGAAAGATGGCACTTTCATCACAATAATGGTGAGAAGACACAAAGCCCATAAAGTATTCATATGCATAAAACATTCCCCACATCATGAAAACATCCATTTCACAAGATTTGCCATTAAAATTTGTTTTACTAAGGTTGCCGGGTTTGGCTTGGAGCCAATTTTACTGATTTTTTTAATAATCTTGCTCATGTTTAATCCGTTACTTTGTCCGCTTAAACTAGACAACAAAATCAATTTTAATTAAGACGCTTATCATCGTAATCTTATCGATTCTTAGATTTCTTCTGCGATGTGGCCCCAAACATCCTTGAAGACAGCCGTCATGAAAGCAGCTGTTGAAACGATATCATACACTCCTGCGGCCATGACATGCTTTTATTTCTTCATGAGCATATTAGAATTGAAAACAATAGAGGAAGCTGCAGCTGAAGTGAGCAAAAAGTTTTGGCCTACCTATAAGGTCAGTGTAATCATACAGACGCCTTTAGTTTTTAGCAAGTTTCAGTTAATTATAATTGTTTGCCATTTTAGATTGGTGCATCTATATGGCCGATTGTAGCCACCATTAATTTCTCTGTAATACCTGAACGTAATAGGGTTCCTTTCATTAGTGTATGTAGCTTATTGTGGACATGTTTTTTGGCCTATATGAAACATTTAGAACATCATCAAATGGATGATGAAAGTAATTATTCGATAATGAAGAAAATTGAAAGCTAGTGGAAAATATTGATTAAGTATAAATTAACAGGAATACATTGTAATTTCTTGTATGTTTTTTGTTAAATAAATATCTAATAAATTATCTATGTATTTAAATGTAACATTTTTTACAATATTTTTAGAGGCATTGCTTCAATTCTCCTTTACTCACCACTTTGCAGAGTTGTATGAAAAAGTATGTTTAGTTTACATTTTAGTACGGGCTTGGCAACTCTGTTTAGGGTACAGAGACATGCGCTAATTCGACTTAAAGACAAAGCCTTGACTCCGAAAAATTTTCAGCAAATTTTCACCAAATATGAAAATACGTTTAATAATAAAAAGTTTTTGAATTGTTTTAAAAAATTTATGAATGCCGACCGTTTGCCAAAAAAAAAAAAAAATTAGCAATAATTTTAAAAATAAAAACACAAATTATGTTTAGATTAGAAAATTGTATTATGATACAAACATTTTTGACAAGTATTAATACAGTATTGTTGTCTGAAAGTACCTTAACCAAATACTAACGCTAAAACAATAATAAAATAGTAAAAAATAATTCAAAATACAAACGGCCCAAACTTCGTTATATTGACTACTTAAACTATGAGTATTTTTCTTTGAAAAACATTTGTGTTTGAGCTGATTGTTGCTTTTTTAATGACAATTTTCAATTTTTTTCATGCAAAATCCAGTCTTGTAATCATCACTCGAATTCCGTTTCTATTTAATATCGTTAAAAAATTTAGTTGAATCGGCTTGTAGCCGATTTTAACCCAATGATATAACTTTTAGTGTAAACCACCGCCGTCGTTAATATTTATTTGTCGGCACAGGTCTCTGTTTAGGGTGTTGTTTTCTTGCTTGACATTTCTCGACGCTGTTTATTGTATTATTTCCAACTTATTTTAATTTTGTGAAAATTTTTATAAAATTTGATATTGCAATAAAAGATTGGATAAAATGCATAATTTTCGAAAGCAGCCGTCGACGGACACAACAGAGAATGGAACAGAAAAGAACGATTATCCACGTGCAACAAGTAAGTTTTAAAAATTAAAAAGTAATTGGAAACAATTGAAGTGTGACGACACCTACTCTAGCAACATAATGAGAATTCTTTAACATTTAACATAAATTATATTTAATTTACTTTTTTGATTTTGTAATAGACGGTGTCGTGTTTGGAGCTATTATTACATTTGTGGCTTATTTCTTTATGATGATGTCTTTCTGTTCTCCCTATTGGATTGAGTCTTATGAGGAAACCCGTAGCAGCTTTAAAAACATGGGACTATGGCAATATTGCTTTAAGGATTTTGTTTACCCCAATTATCAGTTTCAGCGCAAATTTACAGGATGTCATAATGTTTTCAGTCATGTAAGTTTCATTTAGTCTTCTCCCATTTAAAATAAATCCGTATACATAAAATAAAAATATATTACCTAGTCGCTTACACCCGACTTTATATTATACGTACATACATATGTATATCGTTAATTGGAATCGCCACATGTTATTTATTAAAATTTACTCCTTGTATTCCTAAATGAATAATAAAGATATTGATAAAGGCAGGGCTACAAGTTCAATATCCATATATTGTGTTATTTTCTATATTATCAAATTTTTTTGGATGAAAACATGCTAAAAAATAATGGCATAATAATAATAATGCATTATTTTGAGATTTTCGCGGTATTATTTCAGTCATGTGTGTATATACCACAAAATAATGTGAATACTGGCGCGATTCCATGTATTCATCATTCGTTTTAAATGGGTAGTGATCGGTGTTATCATATATCAAGTTTTCCCTTTTTTGAAATTCAAAAAAGTTTTTAAGTTTTATTCCAATAAAAAAAGGTTTTGAAAATTTATACAAATTTTAAATTTTTTATTTTATTTATTCAATAAATAAGTTTGAATATAAAAAACTCTTTTTTACCATTAATAAAATAATATTTTATACCATTAATATGGGAGATATTCCTAAAAACTGTAAACATTGACCGGTACAGATGACTTTTAATTTCTTAGATTAGAACTTAGGGAAGCAATGCACATACGTTATTGTAGACATTTTGTACATTGGTTCACCGTACTAAGACAAGTTCACGCAAAATTCTTCTTCAAAAAATATATGGCAACATTGGTAGTGATCTAAATTGAGCAACATACATACAGTACAAAAAATGTCTGCTTCCAAATAACGGTAACAATTCCATCTTTTCTATTTGTTGTTTACTCTCTTAACTTAGAGTTTCCAAATAAGCAACACTTCGTTCCAATTTCTATTACACAAAATGAAATATTTTATACTTGCTGGAAAAAATTAACATTTTCCGGGAGCACAAAATGCAACGCAATGAAATAACAGCAAATTTATGATTTCTATTGTGTTTTTAATCAAATTTTCTTGAAGATATTTACAACACGAGTATTATAATAGTAGAAACTATCATCTAATAAAAAAGACAAGTATTAATGCTCTAGAGGATAAGAATCCATTCTTGAAATTGGAAACAGATAATATTCATCTTTGGAAAACTACCACTCTTAAAGACCATCAGACTCCAGCTTTGCAAATATGGGTTACTCTATTGGAGTTTACATTGCTCACGGAAGGATTAATAAAGTGCTATTTGCTTGGATTCACAAATAAATAAACAAATAAATATAAGAGATGGTTTCATTACCGTTATTTCGAAACAGACGAAAGAATATTTTTGCATGTCATTAGTTGTTTTCGAGCTATAGAGGAAATTCATGGGGTATAATAAATAATTTGATTTCATATTATTTATTCCTTAATCATGTCTTAATTTTTATTTTTAATTGCAGGAGTATTATGTTATACGAGAATGGCTTTTGCCGGGTTGGTTGATGTCTGTTCAGGCCTTTGTTACTTTATCATTTATACTGATTTTTATTGTTTTGGTCATTTTGGCCTTAACTATTATTCGATTGCCATTAAAAGCAGTATTGCAATATGAATGGTTGCTCGTTCGAATTTCATACTTGTGCACTGCGATTTCTTGTAAGTTAAAATGTTTTTTTTATTTTACATTGTTATATTTATGTTTTGTTTTCTTCCACTTTTTAAGCTCTGTTTATGTTTTTGGCTGTATGTATATTCGGAGGCTGTGCCTATCGACGCGATTGGTTAATGTATCCTAAATTTAACGTTTTGGGATGGTCCTATGCTTTAGCCGTTGTAACTTTTATTTTATTGGGATTAGCTGCCTTAATACTACATCGTGAGTCTCGTGAGGCATATGAGATGCGAGGTGAACAGAAGAATTTGGTCATGCAAATGGAAATGCAAGAACCGGGCTATCAACCACCCAGACACCATCAGAGTCAGTCAAGAAGTTTACATGGTTACATATAAAGTTTTCTTATTGAAGTTTAAACACGAGAAACATTCCATTATTTTACACTTTTATATAAAAATATTTAATTTTAAAAAGAAATTCGAATCCCTCGGATGTCTTTAATACCGTCCATTTACTTTAAAACATTAATATTTTTGTTAAAATATTTGCTCATTTAATACTTTTTTCATTTTAAATTTGACTCAAAAAGTGCCTTAGAATGGTAGTTAATATTTAAGTACATATACATATTTTTATTAATACTTTAATTTGTTCAAGTACATATCGTTGTATTGTAATTCATTCTTAATATTAATCGAAGATTTGCCGTCCAATTACACAGGTCCCTCTCGAATATTTTTATACATTTTTATTATTATAAAATTATAAACAAAATATAAATACAATTTTTAATATAAATAAAACAAAAATGCATTTTTAATATATGAATTGTTTAACTCTCTTACTACATTATTTTTATGATTTTTTATATTACGTTTTCAGCAAAATAATGATAAGATTTCCTTTTATCACTTTATGAATACTTTGTCAATAAATTACGTTTCATTTCGCTCATTCAGCATGTTTTGAAATTGATTAGTTTTTGATTTATCAATATACTCATGCATCAATATCAACAGTTTCTTGTTAAAGTTCAATGTAATAACTTTGTTTTCAGTTAAAAGGTATTCGTCAGAAAGAAACGTTGTTAATGAGAAAAACACTTGAAAAATTGGGAGTTATAAAGTTATTAATTACAGTAAATGTTTCAAAATATACATAATATGTTGAGAATTTTAAAAAGTTTTTTAAAAATCTTCAATTTAATTGTTACAAGTATGTGAAAATTTAGTGAACAAGAAAAAATTAATTTAACTTAATGTATAATTCTGAATATTGCGATAAAAATATAAAAAAATACTATGTTGCATATCGTCACCTGAAATGCAAAAGGGCGCAACAATACTTTTTCAATATTTTACTGGAGAGAAAAAAATCTAAATAAATTTAAAACTATTGTTATAAAAATATATCTTTCTTCCATTATTATATCCTAACATCAATTTCAAATTTTTTGTTGGTATTCCTTTTTGCATTTCAAGTGACGATATATGTACATACGTAAGAGAAAAGCAATAGTATATACATACATACGTAGTATTCTTCTTCAATGGATGTTTGTTTTTGACATATGTATGTATGTACAAGTATTATTTAATATCAAGTGAACAATACTTTTCGGTGTTTTCATGATACATTGCGATCAATCAAAAATTCACATAATTCAAGAATTAATAATAGAATGTATTGTTATATTTTAGTCAACAATTACAGGGAATTCCTGTACCTGCATATCTATACCTTATCTACCGTAATATTCATGACATTAATAAACGTTAAAATTTGCTGAATTGAAAAATTATTGATAAGATTCAAATTATAATTTCCTCTTTTCATTTTTGTGTAATAAAAATGCATAGAACATTTAATTTCATAAATATTGTCACATGAAATCATTTTCATCTGTTCTTACTATCGGAATTAACATTTGTTTAATAAAAAAATTGAAATTCTAAGTTAATGAATCATTGATAAAATTAAACAATTTATTTTCTATATATCTATAGTATGTCTCATAGTAACACCCTCGTCAGCGGGTCCACCTTCACCAAGAATTATTAACGGGACAGAAGCTACTGCGGAACATGCAAAATTTCAAGTTTCCATAAGACTGAAACGTTACGATAATACATTTGGCAATGGACACATATGTGGAGGTGCTCTTGTGGGACCCAATAAAGTCTTAACAGCCGCCCACTGCCTTTACGAGTAAGTAATGTGAATAAATAGAAGTGTTTGTTGTAATAATATTTATAAATATGTATGTATTGCCTTGTTTATATAGAATCCCAATAAGCAAAAACCATCTGGCCTACTATTCATAGTACTAACCTATACTCATGGTGTCATGGGTATCATATGCCCTACTATACTTTCCTACTTGTTTTTTTTTTTTTTATTTTGCTACCTAGGACTTTTACATAGTGATTTTACAAAATTTTTTGAAAGATAAATTTTATCAAATATTTATCTCTGCTATTATTATTAAATAGGACATGAATTCGATATTAATTTTTGGAAATATAGACATATTTATTTTTTCAATAAATGCTTTAATTTAATACTTTTGTGAAAATTTTTGTTTTCTATGGTATCTTAGGTACATATCAAAAGTGTTAGCTTGAAATTGAAAAATTTTTAAACGAATTTCAAGCATTCTTTGTATTTTGTAATGCTAATTTGTTAAACTATTGCAAAATTTATATATGTATTTTTACATCACCTGATAATAAAACATTCATACATTATTTTTTGCATATTTTTAATTCATCTATTTTATTAAAATAATTTATTAAAAAAAAATCATAGAAGCAAAACTTTAAAAAATTTATAAATTTCACACATTATATTTTATTAAACGTGTTTTGAAATTGTTATGTTTAATAACACTGTACGTAAAATTTCAACTTTCAAAAAGACAGATAAACGCCGAAACACGTGAACTTAATTTTCGGTCGTAGAATCTAGTGACATACTCCGTTTTAAAAAGTTGGGTCAAAATCGGAAGATATTTCATTTTAAAGTTTAAACTGTTTCTGAGGTGATTTTTGATTATTTAAATTTAAAAAACAAAACTCACGCATATAAAAGTAAATAAATCATGAAACTAGAGTCTATTTGAATTATTATGCATATATGTATATTTAGTTATTCATGATTAGTTCGTATGTCTATGCGTGAAAACTTTTTCAAAATTTAGAAAAATAAAATATCACCTCATAAAAGTTGATACTTTAAAACGCAATATCTCCCGATTTTGACCCAACTTTTCAAAACGGAGTATGCCACTAGATTCTACGACCCAAAATTAAGTTTAGGTGTCTCGGCGTTTTCTGTGTCTTTTTGACATACTTACAGTGTAATTAAACTTTAATTTGACAATTATATTATTTTGTCGAAAAATTTTTTAAATATTCTACAGGTTTGAATTGATGTTTATTGGGATGTATTGTTGTACTATATTTTTGTGTTAAACTTTTGTTTATGGTTTCTTGTAGTGCTGATAAAAAACGTTACCGTAAAGCGAGAGAATTTGTTGTTGTTATGGGTACCTTGAATCGTTATCAACGTGTTAATGGCACTATTGTCTCGCATGTCAAGTCTATTGCATATATGAATACATTCAGTATGGATACCATGCGCGATGACATTGGTTTAATGTTTTTAAAAACAGGCTTACCGGAAAATAAAACCCATCTAACAATCGCTCCAATAGCCTTGGCAAATACATCCACACCAGCGGGAGTATCGTGTCAAGTATCAGGATGGGGTAAAACGGAACGGGTAAGATAAGGGAATAATTCGTAAAATTTATGTACATATATTACATATTTTTTTTAATCACTAATTTACCGGAATTCTTGATTTCCGGGTATATTAAAAAATTTGTTAAACAACAGTATTGGTGCAGTTTTTATTAAAGTTGTTGTATCAGAATAATAAAACAAAAATGTTTGTGCTTTTTGTTGGTTCAATTTGAACTTCAAGTGATCTATGCCGATTATATATTTAACATCTATGCAACATTCTATATTATAGGGCTCTTTGTCGCCGACATTACGTGTTGCAAACGTATCAACGATATCAAAAAGTGTTTGTGCAATTTCATATAGTAGTGGTTTATATGATGGCATGATATGTGCAGGTTACATTTTAGGCGGTACCGACTCGTGTCAAGGGGACTCGGGCGGGCCATTAGTATTCAATAACACCTTAATTGGTATTGTATCATGGGGATCAGGATGTGCACAGCCAGGATATCCAGGTAAAAAATATACATCTACTTATTCCATATTTATACAAAACTTTGTATATTTTAAATAACAATTTACTTTTTGCCAACAAAATATGTATGTAGGAGTTTATGCTGACGTCCGCTATTACAATAAATGGATTACGGAACGCAATTTGGCTATAATTAAAATGCCCGTATACTCAATTTTAGTATTGACAACGTTTATATCGTATATAGTAAATTCTTTTAGATAATACATAAATTTATTTATATTATAATTATTATTGTAGTAGCTTTTTATAACTACATATATATGTCCTAAAGGGTTCAGTTGTAATAAATGAAGACATAAAAAAATACACAATAAAAATATTTTATTTAAACAAATCTTTTAATTTTATATAATTTTAACGAATATACATAAAACACTTACGAATTATTTAAATAAAATTATACATACAATTTGTGTTAAATACTCTACCTTGCACTGAAGAAATGGCAAGGTGATGATAAACAATTTGTTAAAAAGTTATTTTTTATTATGTATGTGAACCGTTATGGTAACATTTTGTCATTTTTAAGTAATAAGAATTATAGGCAATGATATAAATTCGAATAAAAACAGCTATAACATTAATTTGATATACATATATTTTTTCCAAATTGGAAAACCACAACACGTTGCAATGAAATAACATTATTGCATTAAACAGCAGCATAAATATTAATCTTAACATTAAACAATTATTGTATCTGTTGAAGTGTCAATCGGTGAGTACCGATCAAATATATACATACATTTGTATATACCTGACACCATCGTGACATTCATCTTTTTCCAGTCTTTTATTATTGGGCAATAGCAGCTCTTTGGTGTCAGTAATAAAATATGTACAACATTAAAAATATTGAGGTCTTTATAGTTTCGAATGTTTCAAAAATATTCGAATGTACGAAATCATGAAGACATTTCAAAAACCATTAACTAATATTATGTATTTAACAACCACAAGTATTGTTCGCATTTCGAGCATCGTTCGCAGTTTCTTGGTCTTTTTGGAGGGCTAATTTCAATGTTTGAAAACTTGTTAAACGGGTTTGAGTCATTAAACGAGTCAATTCGGAATTTTCTACTGAATTCTCCATGCGATCCATTACACGACCAACGAGTAATTCGACAGCTTGACGAATATTGTAACCCGTACTCGCACTAGTTTCGATATATGTTAAATTGTAACGTTCAGCAAATGTAGTCACTTGCTCCCGAGATACGACGCGATATGTATCCAGATCACATTTGTTCCCACATAGAACAACATCCGGTTCTTCGGAATATGCATGAATTCGAAGTTGTTCTAACCAGTTTGTTATTTCTAAGAAAGACTTTTCATTAGTTAAATCGAAAATCAATAAAAAGCCCATGGCATCTCTATAAAATGCTGTTGTAAGGGATCTAAATCTCTCTTGTCCCGCTGTATCCCACAGCTGCAAATGTATGCGATGATTTCGACCTCTGGAAGTGTAGAGCTAGCAAATAAAAAAAAAACAAAATTTAGGATTTTCAAATTGCATTCCATAGCATTCGATATATATATATATATATATATATATATATATATATATATATATATATATATATATATATATATATATATATATATATATATATATATATATATATATATATATATACTTATATATATATATATCTACATAGGTACTTTTTATAAAAACAACAAAAATTAAAATACAGTGGGACTACGATTTCCGTAATGGTCGGGACCGGAACCATTCTGTATAATAGATTTTCCCGGTTAATTGAGTGCCAATGTTGGCTAGTTTTTCAATAGAAATTTTTATTAATTAATAAATGAATATGTACAGTATTGTTCGAAACCTAAGCAACTTTTTTTGGCATTGTATACAAAGTGCTATATTTTCTATTTTAACTGATTTATTCAAAATTATATAATTGATAATAATATTATGTGTCTACATTATAATAACAACAACAAAATTTTAATTCCATTTCGATGTTAGTTACAAGAAAATAATAACTGAATTAACTCCATAAATTGTTAAAAAATAATATAACTTTGCTTATAATCGCGGATAATAGAGGTAATCACGGTTAAATCATGCAAGAAAATTTAAGTCAATGCAAAATAAAATAAGGTCGATGCAAAAAAAAAAATTATTTTTCCATCCCGGATAATTGATGTTGCCGGATAATCGAATCACGAATAATAACAAGTTAGTAACAATTTTTGCAATGACCATAATTATTGTAACCCTAGTATAGAATTTTTGGATCAATTAAACCAACTGAAATTATAAGGATCTAATTTTAAAATAATATTTAATGAAATGAAAATTTTTTTCTCCATAATTTTTACTTACCACTCTTTTTTCCCGGAAATCAATGCCCACTGTTGAGATAAATTGCGAATGAAATTGTCCATCTGTATATTGATAAAGGAAACTTGTCTTTCCTACACCCGAATCTCCCAGTGCCAGAAATTTCATTAAATAATCATAATCAATATTGTTTGGCAATAACATGTTAGTAATTATGATATACTGATGGTATGAGTTATAATAATGATGATGATGAATGCCACAAATTGGCGATATTTTCCTGTCCAACGATGAACGTTACTTTATAGTAGTTTGAGGCACCAGTGATGCAGACGACAAAACTAGATATTTAAAAAATTACAAAGTTTACACAGAAAATTTTTTTTATTGAATTCGATTTATTAATTTTATGCATACCCAGCAAAAAATAATTGATGTCATACTTTACAAACGACATCTTAATAGCATCTAAAAATGCGATTGCATACTTTTCGCTTTTATAAACCAAACATATCCTTACAAATGAAAATACAGTTAAAAATGAGGAAAGAGATGTAGAAAAGTCACTACAAACATCATATTCGAAGTACTTCAAATTTTGATGAAAAACCTATGAAATTTACTTAAGCGTTCCTTGAAAGAATGTGGTTCATTTTTGACATACAAATATCGGGTTTTTACAGCTTCTAAAGATTAGATGTAGTTAAAAGTTGTCAAAAATGAACAACATCCCTCCAATGACACGCTAATGTAAAATTCATAGGTTTTTCACCTGAATTTGAAGCACTTCGAGTTAATAGTTGTGATGAAAATTCTACATCTTTTTCCACACTTTTTTTGCTGGGTACTTTTTTCTGTGTATGTATATGATTATTTGTAGGTACAATGTACATACATATGTTAGTTTATTCGGACATAGACTGAATTGGAAGCAATGAACAATAAGCAGCAGACAACTAAAGAGGTTATTGACTTTTAAACAAAAACGGAAATTAAATTGTATATGAATGTGTGTCTATGGCATCGATAAAGAGGATGTTTGAGTTATAAACCTACATAAATCAACTGTCAAAAAGTCTACTTACTTATGTTATGTATGTTAATGTTTAAATTGGTTACTTATTTAAAAGAAAAAAAAAAATTAACTAAATAAATGTAGGAAGTGTCATGCTGGAAAGATTTCTTTTGTACGCCTCAAAGGGAAGTATTTATGTGGATTTTGATTTTTGAATTTAAAATTGAAAATATTTTACAAAAACGAAGAAAGACCAATTACATATTCGCATTCATTTTGAATTATTAAAAAAATAAGAAATCAATATTACTTATAAAGAATTAATTTTCTTGGGAATTAATTTAATGCAACATAAAGTCAAAGAACTATAATTAAACATTAACAAATTTGAAGGTGAATTTACAATTTTGGTGAATTAATTCTAAATATGTAGAATATCGTCCTTTATTTTAATACATACACAAAACAAATCAAGGTTGGCTACTGTTACCGCCTAGCCACCGTAACCACTAAAAAACCTCTTCATCGCTACTTCCTTTACCGCTAAAATACCGTTACCAAAATAAACAATAAAAAACTTAATTTTTGTGGTCCAAATTGTCAACTATATTAAAAAACGTAGTTCCATAGGTTCCTGGAAAATGCATTTTTAAAAAAGCTTGTAAATATCCGCAACTAAATTAAACTAAATTCGGTAGTTATTATTGCCTAGAAGTGTTATTGTGTTATAACTAACATCTGTTAAAAATTTTTGTGAGTCAAATATAACAGCAATATAAATATCAAATATTATTTTTTTTCCATGCCGTCTATCGAAATAAGCAAAAATGCCGTTACATCTAAGATATCAATATATTCGATACCCTATATTCAAAAAGTGCTAAATCAATAAAGTCTAGTTTTCAGGAAAGCAAAAAAACTATTTAATTCGTGAAATATTACAAATATTTCTTCCATAATACGTTTTTAACATCCTTACTAATTCTTACCTATGAAAAAATTTTAATATTTTGCACATTTTAGCGACTTATTTAAGATAGCACTTTTTGGTCGACAAAAAAACAAATATTTGTTCTAAGTTAGCATGTTTTGTTCAAAGAATAGAACAAACATTTCTTCTAATAATATACGTTATTTTATAATTTTATGAAATGTTTTTTTTAAAGGGATATAAGTCAAACCAGTAAGTCCAATAAGATGCATTTACACCATTTAAGTAGAAAAACTCATGTCATATCTGCTTGTTTACTATTCCTTATTCTCAGTACAAATATTTTAAATTATGGAAAGTTTTTGAATATAAAAAGTACCAATATTTTTTGAATAATACTCCATAGTTTGCACATTTAAAGACTTTTTTTAATCAAAATTCTAAATTGGAACCATAGAATATTATAGATCTTAGTGTTATAAACGATTTCTGAAATAACTTTACATTTTTCGGAAAAACATTATTTAAAGTCTAAAACTGGCTTTATATACAAATATATAAATGATCATATCTTAAAAACTATACATTCAACTTATTAATCTTCACCTGTTTTGTGTTCAGCATGTTCATCTTGTTAATATACAAAATAAATTTTAAATAAATTTGAAGTTTTAAAAAAATGTTGTAAAATTTGTATGGAAGATAGCACTTATTTTCTTCAATAAAAATTTAACTTTGAGATAGCATATTAACAAAAATTTTTGTTAAAAGTGCAAAAATTACTTTTTGGTTTCAAATTTATACCAGAAGTGGATCATGCATTGAGGAATCCTTTTGCATCAAAAACTCACTTTGCCCAAAATTGAGTTCGCACTTTTTGAATATAGGGTCACGATATGTATGTATTTGTATCTACATATGTATCTTTCTTGTTTCCTTTTTCTATTAACCGCGTAATTAATTTGTTTCAACTTTTAGTTCTTATTGTCAATTACTTTATTTTATTGTATGTATTACAAATAACGAATGAATTTGTTATATAATTATGATTAACTTTTAATAAGATTTTAATAAGATCAATAATTGGAAACATTAGTTTTTAAATAAATACCATTATAGTGTTGATGATGTTTTCAATTATAAGAACATTGCCGTTGTAAACATCATTGAAAAGGACAATATTCTTTACTTTTGTTAATCACTTTTTGTCAACACTCCCACACAACCACCTACGAACACATATTTAATATTTTAACCAAAAAAACCAGCAAAAGTCTTGTGATTTGTAACAATTTCCAAATTAATATTAAATTGCTGTCTTTTAAGGACCAATGTTTTCTATTGAATTTAATTTAATTGTAAAAACATTTTTAACAAATAATAAATCATTAAAAATGTCGAAAATGTATGTAAATTGTCAATAAAACATTAATACATAATAGAATTATACAGAAGAGGGGTAGTTTTTCGTTATCATAAAAATATGCACCACACACACCACTTTCTAACATAACTTTGTAACGTTTTTATTTTGCTCCATTACGAAACTGAAACACCCACACTTCTCCGCCAATGTGTGACCTGTTGCGACTGACTGCTGAAAGAAAACTAAATTCACTCAGCTGTTTTTGTAAATCGTGTGTCGAACTAACGAGGCAGAAAATCAACTTCAATATCCTTGAAAGTATTTACATACAAATTTACACACACTCCCCTTAACAGATTACTTTTAATATGCATGCTTTACAATTAATATATAGATTTATTTCCATTTTGAAACTCCAATAGTTTGGCGTTTATCCAAGTTTGAGGTATAGATTTTTTTTGTCGGCGGTTCATGGTTTCGGAATTATGACATTCCAAATACTGGAAAAGTACATATGTACATATAATCATTGAGGATATAATCATTGCTCCCGGCCGAAGGTCGGCTATTCAGAAACAATTTTTAACTTATATGAACGTAATGGTACAATCAAAAATTTTGGGATACAAAAAAGATGCTTTTAGGTAAGCCGGTGTTGAATATCTCAATAATCTTTAAAATGAAATTCAATAAAATATAGAAATTGATGAAATAACATAAAGAATTATTTTAAAAAACGCACTAAGTTGTCTTTCAAAATCTTTAACTGCCAAAGGAGAGCGACTTGTATCCAAGCAAGAACCATTTAAGTCCTCATTTATCTTCTCCAAAGTCCATATACGAACTTAAAAGAACACTGTTTAAATTAAGACCTCTAAACACACCTTAGGTTGCTTTTCGGTATTTTCCAACTTTTGTTCGACTTTTATTTACAAAGTCAATTATTCGACCTTTTCTTACAAGATAGTCGACTTTACGACTTGTGATAGTTCTAAAGAACAACATATGTATAGTTATTTAAAATTATAACGTTTTAAGCGCCTCGGCAACACATAAATTGGTTGACTCAAACGGCAAGTTTTTTTAATGGGTTAGTAAAAAACTCACCGCATATATACCCTGCCAGCAACTCAACTAACTTTAAATGCATTAAAACCCGACTTTTTCATCAACTAGTTATGGTTGATTCTTGGATTATTTTTAATCCAATAGCCAACTGACTATTTTAACATGGCGATGTCCTACGCAGTAGTCAATTGTCCGACTCTGCATGACTTTTCAACTAGCTTAAAGTTAGTTACTAAAAAATTAGCTTAAAGGTAACTCTTTATTAACTAACTTAAAGTTAGTTGCAGAAAAGTCAAGCAATAGTTTTCTTTTGAATTCCCTACTGTATTAATTAATTATATTTTAATTAAATATATTTAAAATTTAACTACTAGTTATCTAAATTACATTTCGCTTTAATACAAGTTATGATATTAGTTCGTTAAAATTAATAGACATCAGTTTTCTGCAGGGGAACTAATAATAACACCGGTATCCATAAAATTATGAATGATTTGTTCATTATTTCCATGATTCCCATTGATCCAAATCTAAAATAAATTTTAAAATGTTATGTGTAATGTTAACTGTTAATGTATTATATTATAGTATTAATCAGCAGAATTTAGAATTTAGGGACCGAGTTTTGAAATATTTAACCTTTTATAATTAATTTTTCCAATTTACTGACTCTAATTTCACAACGTATAGAAGAAAATGACAAAAATGTAAAACAAAATTCCAAATAATAAAGAAACATGAGAAAACATGTCGAAACAAAATGCTCTCCAGATAATTTTGGGGTACTCCCGCATTATATGATAGTTAGCTTGTAGCTAGTCTTTAAAAGTCGGTTGTTTACGTTAATAAATACCAAATTTTGGAACATTTCTGCATTACATTGTTGTTCGTTTATAGTCAGTCTACTAAAGTCAACAAATAAAATCATAATAATAGAGAAACAAGAGAAAACATGTTGAAATACAATTAATTCTCTCCAGATAATTTTGAGGCACTTCTGCATTACATTATAGTTAGCTTGTAGTTAGTATTTAAAAGTCGGTTCTTTACGTTGCCAAATACAAAATTTCGGGACAGCTCTGCATTACATTGTAGTTAGCTTATAGTCAGTCTGTAAAAGTAAACTAGAAGTGAATTTTTCTCGTAGTCGAATACAAAATTGCTGGCATGGTACATGTGAGGTTTTTTCACTAACACAATCAAAAAACTTGCCGTTTGAGTCAACAAATTTGATGTGTGGCCATGTCGCTTTATGATAAGCAAGAAAAAAAAATAAAAGAGAAAAAGAAGAAACATATAAAAAAAGAAAACAGAAATAATTAAGAAGGGAAAAAATAATATCAATATGAAATATTAAAACAGGAAAATTAAATGAAAGACATAATTAAGTAAAGCATATATTGACATCGTGTCTTTTTCCTTCTAAAGGAACATGGTGTAGGGTATAATTACCGTTTAAGTTGAATGGGTCGATAACTATCACTTTTAAGGAAATTTTACTATTATTTAATAAATAATGTTAAATAATTTTCGACATTCAAAATAAACACCAAACGCAAAATCAAAAGAACACTTGAAAATGTTTAATTAATCAAAATTATACAGATATGGCAACTCTTCCGTTTACTTTGACATTTAGTAAATTTATGTAGCTGTCTCTTTTCACTGCAGCAAACGTTATTTCATCTTTCTTGTATTCTTGTTTTTTTTTTTTTGTGCGTTTTGTTTTCAACCGACTTTTTGAAAACTACCGCGCATCGTAAAAAAAATTTCATATTTTTTGTTTTAACACGGAATAGAGCTATTGAATTTAAATTATTTAAAAAAAGGTGATCTCAACTCAATTTAGACTTTATAGTTAAGAAAATGGCTTTCTTAAATTGTAAAATGCAGCAAGAGCAACATAAATTTGATTGGGATGACATTAATGTAGGCAACAGTCAACTTGACGATTCTCAAAATTTTTTTTGTAAGTATGAAAAGCGAATTAGCAATTGCATCCCATAAAATGAAAAATTTTATTTAAAACCCGTTAATTACATTGTTTTTGTTTATTCTATTCTAAGCCAAAAAGCACTACGAACATGAACGAGTAGACGAAATGGAGTTCTTGCAACAAAAGATGAGTAAGGAAATTTAATAAAAATTGCGTTTTTAAACATGTTTTATTTAATTTTCTTACTTTTTCAGTAAAAACTGAACTGAATGAGTCTGTTGAAAATAAAGAAAACATGAAGGTCAATTTCACATCTCCGGTACAAAAATCGGAAAATAAAATTTCAGATGAACATTTGTCACCAAGCAATGTAAAAGTTGAGAATAAAGAGAGCGCAGCATCACCGGTTGATGTGAATAAGGAACCGCAAGACGGACGAGAGCCATGTTTAAAAGTGGCTCCAAATTTAGCGTGCGAGTGGTCAACGAAAAAAACAATATGTTCTCAAACAGTAGGCCTTCATAAAGGTGCAATTTCGAAAAATGTGCCACCTCCCCCACAAGCATATTTAGTTAAAGATATATATCAACGAAATCGCGAAGAAGCCGAACGTCGCAGAGCGGAAGAGGAACGTAAAATGAGAGAATTTCATTCTCGACCAGCACCCAACTTCAACCATCACCATGAACTGTTGCAGAAACGAAAGCCAGCCCATGCTGTTACAGTGGCCGTCACGCCTCAGGTTTTAAAAAAATCTCGTGAGGCTGAAGAAAAACGTAGAAAAAGGGTAATTTACTAAATATTTTGCCTGTTATTACATATTAAATCATAATAATTGCTTTTTACAGTTGGAGGAATGGAAACAAAAGAATCAGGTCCCCAAATTTGAACCACGTCCTCCTACAGTGTTAAAAGAAAAACCATTCGTCCCCGAAAAAAAACCAATGGTAGTTCAAATGTGTCCTTTTAAGTTACACACCGAAAAACGACTTCAAGAACGTAAACATTATGATGAAATTAAACAGAAGGCTTTGGAGGAGAAACAAAAACAGGTAGAAATTGTAAGCACATTTTGCAACATTTCATAGGAAAGGCTTGAACTGATATTTGTTGTAAATATGTGTGCTATATTTTTAATTCTTCTCATACTAATAATTGTATTTTGTAAAGGCCTGCATGCAAGACTTAGACATTTTTACTAACAATTAATCTTTGTTAAATTTATGTACTTTGCTTACAAATTGTAATTTTTATTGGGCGCTTCATCAACTCCAAAATTTCTTCTAAAAACATTTGATAAAAAAAATTTTAAATGCAAAAATCATTTTTAACGGATACGGCAGAAGGACGCCTACACAGAAAAGAGGGTTTTAACACACATTTGTTGGTAATCCAATGAACAAATCTAGAACAATAAAAAGTTTGGGTGGGCATTTGTATAAACGGCTTTCGGCCAGACGCAGGGACTTTCAAACCTATGGTAAACCAAACATCGGCTTCGATAAAAATGCTTGTATATATTATTTTTTTGGTTTTAGTTTATTTATTATTTATTTACATGATATTAAACGTATATTAATATAAGACTAATATTACTAAGGAGATTAGCAAGAGCTACGTAGGCTATCAGCTATTATATTAAGTACGAATTAGATTTCTTTATTTATTTTTAAAATGTAGTTAAAAATGACGTTGATGTTTTCTTAAGGAGATTGAGACCATTGTTTGATGGATATTTGAATTGAAGACTACTTAGATAGGAATAAGTAGAGAGAAGGTGTTTGACTGATATTGTGGAGCCACAGTATGGACATTCATGTTTATAATTGCTATTCAATAGATGTTGATGTGAAGTGATCGTGTGTCCCATACGCGTGAAAAAAACTTTAATTTTGTTTTTGTTTACGTTCGTTGAATATTTAGGTGTTTTTATATAGGAATTGATTTGAGAATTGTGTGGGTTGTAAAAACTTTTTAACTCTGTAATTCTTTGATGTTTCAACTTGGTAATAATAGAATTATATGTACACTATCGGACAAAATAAAGTGCAAAAGTGCCCATGCTACATTATTTCATCGAAAAATCTGTTAAATGATTATTGAATATGGAATTTTTTTTAATTGATTTAGTTTATATACAATGCTATAAAATAACAATAAAACAAATTTATTCCACCTACAATTTTTCTGTATAACATTTAAAATTAAATTAAATTCACTTTTTTGTCGG